TTTAGTTGTTTCAGGGATTTCAAATCATTTTATATAGTAGACAATGGAAGTCCGAACTAGTGAAATTCATCATGAAACATTGTCAATCACCTTCAAACAAACATATCTATGAGGTAATCTACGCTATGAAAGATCACGGCAAAAAGCAAGTCAGCATAATAATTCTCGGCAGAAAGCAAGTCAGCGTTATTTTCTCTGGTAGATATTTCAAGCGCGACTCAGCTATGTGGTTCGGTGGAAATATATAGTCCGGCGTCATGATGATGTAATGGCGTTCCATCGAGTTCTATTACATCCATAATCACAATCACTAGCCTTTACGCATATTGCGCGGTACGTTCACATACGAAACATTATTATTGCAGACATAAGCACACAATTTTGTTTCAGCATCGGTGAAGACATATTCTACACTCTGAGGCTGAATTCTTTACAGCAGATATCTCGTTTGAGATAATATTCAATTGAACACTTTGTTTTGAATATCCAAATCAATTAACTGCTTCAAAACATTTTTCTTTTCTTCATAAACTTAAGTATACTTAATTGTTGGACATGTCTCTCAAATTCCTCTACTTATGGTCTATATTCTCTGGATGCCATTATATTACTAATTTTTGTTTACGTACGTAACATTGCTATTGCGTAACACAAGCTATTGAGCTTGAGAGTTTGAGAATTGTCCCAAGTACATTTATGTGTGTGAAGGTAGAGACTAACGGGACTTTCAGTCAAACACGTTAAAAAACAAACATTACTCTATTTCACAAATCGCCAAGTTTTCGTCTCTGAATAGAGACAATACTTAAAAGTAATCTGAGTTTTACAATTTAAAATTGAATATTGATGAAAAAATTTCACAAAATTGGCGCATTGACGTTAATAATGTCATTCTAATATTAGTAATGTCATGTTCAAAGCTTACTATGTTGACAAGAAGGACATTATTATTGAAAAGATTTCTATTTCATAAATGCTCATCGAATGTATTGTTATACAACGTGTGATTATTTCGAATTGAGAATATAACCGAGATTTATCTATGTCTAGTAAATAATTGTAAATTCCACTCAGATATTCATAGTATGCTTTTTTTGTTCATATTATTAGGATTTTTGTTAATAAGGACCATTTCGTGAAAAAATCTTTTGGACATATTTGTTTCTGAATATAATTCTTTTGCTTGATCAAATTCAATTTCAATAGAATGTTGAGCTAGTGCACATGAATTTTTGTTTAGTCTTATATCACTTTTGGCAGTCGATGTCGAAGTTTGGCCTTGCAACTGGGAGCCTAGTTCATCTTTGGTATTCGATAATTGAGTTCGCTGTCGATCCCATAGATGGCGTTTTCGTAAGGGGAGATGTCATCACTTACTCAGACTTGTCCTTTGAGGACAGATGAGTGTAACAATACATTCTTGGTTCAGCCTAGCGCCACTGACGGTACCTATGGAGCGTTGTAACAGCGCTGTCTGGAGCGCGTTGTTTGGGTTCTGATTTTCAAGTAATTGCCTGGCAGTGAAAGTTGCAGTGAGAGACAGAAGAACCAATTTTGTCAGCGGTCGATGTCGAAACTTGGCTTTGAAACTAAACGCCTTGGAAAGACTTATTTATTTTTGATATTCAAGGGTTAAGTTTTCTGTCGGGCCCATAGATGATGTCTTCGTGACAATGACGCTATCGATCGCTCCAGAAGGAACGGTAGTCGGTTAGTGTGAGTAGTTCGTTCTACTCACTCGTTCCACCGCTATATCGCCTTTCAACTCAATTATTGGTAGCTTTTATATATTTTTTTTGTTATTGTTGCTCATCTTTCTTTAAATTTTTCAGCCGATGATGAGTCAGTTGACCTCTCCGTGCAATTGGAAACTTCGATAACGGTAGGAGACCATGCCTTCAGCCAGATGCAGGGAGATCTGGATCAGCAAAGACTTCTGGGAGGAAGATCGCTAAATGATCCTTTGGCCGACATTATGGTTAAGGAAATTCAGCATCAAGAAAGGTGAGTTTTATAATATCGGTTAGACTTGCTTTCAATTTTACTTCAGGAAAGTAAAACTACTCGCGTAGTTAGACTTTGCTTCATCAGTTCAATCAAAAACAGTAATTAATCTATTCAAAACACTTTTGCAATACCAGAACAAAAATACTGTATATCTACGCAACTTTCGTTGGCCAGGTTAGCATCATCAAGAGATGACCGAGACATCGTTCTGGTGTGGAAAAAGTATTTTCAATAGATTCTTGTTACACCAGAGGTTCCAAATTCTACCTAACAAGTCAAAAAAATCAGTTGAATACACAAAATATCATTATTTTTCTGGTTTATTTTAAATGGTTTAGCATTTCAATATCGTCCCCAAGTTATTATACCATATCCCTCAGAAAATATATTTCAGTGTATTACGGTAGAATTCTATTTGAATCTAATGCGCTCAAAAATATCTGACAAAATCATTCCATTGAAAACTACCAATTATTATGTAAAAACATCTAATATATGAAATTCTCGTGTCACAGTGTCAGTTGCCATACTCTTCGGAAAAACGGCCTAACCAATTTACGTGAAATTTCATATGTACATTCGGTAGGTCTGAAAATGAGTTTTAATTCATTTTTAATACCCCTAAGTGATAAGTGTGTTCACCCCAAACATTGTTTGACAACTTTTTTGTTTTTACTTTTTCATGATGTAGCATTAAAAGTACATATAACTCTCAATTTTTGCCCTTCTATGACCAACACCTACTTTCAATGGCCATTTCAGTATTTTATTTTTAACCCTGATCATAGAACAGTTATTGCAGCCAGGCGTCTACCAACGACGCGCGACCTTGAAGTGAACTCGGAAAAGGTTTGTTCTTCTACTCATTTTATTAAGCCTAAGTTCTGAGTCCAACGACAACGAGAACGACAAATGGTTCAACTCCTGAAGTAGGCTGCCACCATCATCACCATCAATTCCGCAAATGTTTCACTGGAATCGTATGTAACAATATGGGCATTTCTAGAAATGCTTGCGTGAAATGTGCAGCAAATCTTGAGTTACCAGTATAACTTTGTCTAAGCTGCGATAGCTACAAAGTAGATTGTTGGAACAATTCATTCAGTATGTGTAGAATTGGTTGGCTATTATGTGAAAATGTCGATGATTATCCTCCTAATGATAATATCCACTTCTGGGATTGCTGGTGCTGTATATCCTTTGGCGAATACGTTTTTATACTTGCTGATTCGAACCGCATATCCAATATTGAATTGACTTTTTCATGTTCGTCATGCTGCCTCTTTTATTTTGCATAAACGGAGAAATGTTTCGGATGGGTTTACCTCTGCAGGCTACATGTCAATGGTGCGATGAACTTTGTTGTTATACTGACTGGTGATTTAAGGAATAATATTTAATCACCTGTAACGGCTTTGCAGTGAAAACTCCCTATAAATCTTAATTTTTCAAAGTTCCGATGACTCGTTCCGCAAATGCACTTTTTTTGTGCTGAATGTTCAGTAATGATTGATATGATGTTCCCTCATTAACGATGATAATTTTGAATTATATATAGAATTCGGTACCATTATCAATTTGTTAGTTTCTCAGAACTTGCTTCATATCTTTCAACATAATCGCCATAGCTGCAGTAACCGAATCAGCAGTTTTATTTTTCAGTGGTCTTGACACATACTTCGAAAAGCAGTTGATCACTATGGTTGCATTTCCATGAGATCCATCTGCCACAAGTCTGAAAAACCCCTAATCATTATTTATCGACGATAAAAATTTCGTGGCGCCAGCTTATGTACCTGCCATTTTACATTACTCATATTACTTCTCTCTTCGAAGTGGCGAAAGTTGAGGATTCAGTTCTCCACTGTTTAGGTGGGGGTTTAGAGACAGACTGTTCGACTTTCACAACTCGCTCAGTGAAAGTATCAGCTAAACGAGTTATAATGCCAATTGGCTTTTCCAAATAACTCATTCGATCAGCTAATGCTGAAAAGGTGTGTTTATTTTTGCCTAGGATGGATCGCAATTCACTGTGTATTGAATCAACGTATTCTCTGACGACACGAAGCACTGATGTAATGGATTCTTAGAGTTAACTCCTTGGTTTCTCTAATGTGATCGTCAACATGTTCTTTAGTGACGGAGTCTTTACCGTCTATAGGTTCTTCGACATTCTGCAACTGCTCATTCTGAATGTCATAATCACCGTGTGGTGTGAATCCATCACACGATCTTTCAACAATTGAATTACTAATGCCACCTCTCCTACGCCCAAATTTATCAATTGTGGTATGCATTATAAGATCGTCTGTGAGTAACTGAGCAAATTGAAGGCAATCAACCTATTCTTCCAGTCTAATCCAATGAACATATAATATATGCCTAATATATGCTGTGGCTTTCCATTGAATATTAGTGATAGGATTATTTTTCGATATTTCTTCTAATGAATTGATAGTAGAACCTGTTTTTTCTTGTTGTATTCATATGCCGCCTTCGTTAATTTGAGTTTATCATTATAAGTGGTCATATCGGAAGTGGGGATATTTCCTGGTGCCACTCTCATGAATAACAATTTATATATGGATATTACTGGAGTTTTTTCTCAACACCAAATCGTTATTTCAACACCTCGACACGTATTCCAATCACCAAGTGATCTATAAGTTTGATCTTTCTCTTGAAGATGATCACTTGGTGATCGAAACACGTGTTGAAGTGTTAAAATAACGGTTTGGTGTTAGGAAAAACTCAATACTACACAATTTCTCGTTTCAGTGTTCATGTGACCTCTAAACTCTGTATCATAAGAGGGGTTTCCTGATAGTAACTTTCCTAGGTGTTTTCGCACGTCATCGCCATTATCGACTACTTTAGATGATTTTAAATCTGAAGTTATGCTTGGAGAGACTTGAAGATCCTTCATTAAAGGTCATTCGACATTATTTTTTCCATGATCGTAATGTCCATAGTTCTTCAAATTTCGGTTTCAAGTCACTTACTTTCATGGTGCTTGCCATAACAGTCTTTGCTTTCTGTATCTATTAATATATTTGAGATGCTCCAGTATTGGTCAATACTGCTCTCAAACGTGGTATTATTGACTCATAGATTTTCTCGAGTAATGATTGATCTAAGCGACTACTCTTGATTTAATTAAATTTCATATCTCATATATGTCTCATCATCATTTTTTTCCCTCACTACAAGATTGTGTATAATGAAGAGTTGTCTACACTATTTAGAACTCAAATGATTCAATTGTTTCAAGAACGTCAAGAATATATGAAAGCATCGAATCCTTTTCGATAACGCGCATATTATTTGAACAGCACAATAAAATTTGCATCATCTTGTATCAATTGTTTCGGGACTTGTGAATATGTTTGGGCTAGATAAAAGCAATCCACATCATTATGATGACCCGTTACGTTAGGTCAGGTCCAAAGTGAGTGGGTCTATTCGTTCCTCCACCGCAATATGCAGGGGTTTATTGTGGCTCACACCCATTCACACTCCACCAAATGAACCCAGCTTCTCAACGAAGCCGATTAGTTTGCATGGTGAGTGGTCTTTCAGGTTAGATGGTAAGAGTACGACTCTATCGAACTCTAAAAACCTGATTCGGTCCCCAGCGGTTCAGGCACAAAGTAAGTGCTCTGCTGTTCCATCATTTTCTAAACAGAGGAGACACACACTGTCTTCCGATAGTAAGAATCTCTGTAAATGATGATTCAAATGTTAGACATCATAGTTCATCTCTACTGTAGTCCAACAACTGTTTGGAATCAAGCTTTGAAGGTTGAATAAACGCCTTGAGTGAGCCAATCCTGGAAGATACTGCCAGAAGTTCATAAATCTTCTCGCCATCTAGGTGTTCAATTTTTGTTTGTCAAACCCTAAAGCAATGCCAATTACAGGTTCTGATCCAATAAAGCAGTTTGCAGCACCCTCCTTTGCAAAGAAGTCAGCAGCCTCATTGCCTTCCAGGTCAGTATGGCCAATCTGTTGAGTCTTCCTATCGAGGAGAGTCGTTTTTGGCAATTTACTACTAATTTAGACGTTGCTCGGTAGGGTCAAGAGCTTCCAACGCCGCTTGACCATCCGAGAATATTTTTATTGACTTGTGTATGAAGTTGGATTCTTCCAATCTCTCCGCACACAATTCAATAGCGTAAATTTCTACTTGAAATACAGTCGCATAGATTCCTAGGCAGGTTGATATCTCTGTCATGGGTCTGCGACTGAAAACACCTGAACCAACACCTATCTGCTCTTAATATTTTCTTCTCCCGGGGGATCCAGTCCTCTCTACTCGGGAACAGTACTTTATATGGCAGTTGACAGTTGTGGAGGCATGAAATCTATGCAGTCCATCTAGCCTCTCTATCCAGAAAAATGTAGAGGGGAAGTAGATCTAGAAGGATCTTCATGGCCGCTGACGGTGTGGTACTGGTGGCACCACTGATAGCCAAACAAGCCTGTCTCTGTAAGCCAGAAAGCTTCGCCTGGTCCGTTTTCTGTAAAGCCTCCAGCCACCAGGCAATTGCATCATAAGTGATCATTGGTCTGACAGTCATCACATAAATCCAATGGGTTTGATTGGAAACTAAACCCCAGGTTCTATCACAAATCCTTCGACATGTCCATAGGGACATGAGTAATGCCATAGCCCTTTGTTGCCCTAGCCCGTAAGCCTTTCAACTGGGCGTCTTCACTCTGTCTAGCGCCACCACTGTCAAGGGAACCCCTACTCCTCCGAATTCACCCCCCCTCGTGCCGCCGACGCATAACGTCGACCACACGAAGGGACGAATCAGCGGGGGAAGAAGACCCAACTTCATTGAATTCAACTCAAATTACAAGTCCTGTATATACAAAATTAAGTTAACTTTTCTAAATACTATAGCTATTTGATACATATTTCATTTCCTAAACGGAAGAGAAAAATAGAACCACAAAAATATGAATGATCAGTTTTCATTATTCATTGCATCTTGT